TATGAACTGTAAGCATCAGAGTTAACAACTGTTACAGTGCTCCAGATCTGTGTTATAAAGAATTATTTCCCTATGCAAATCTGTTATGAATTCCCTGTGTACATATGTGTTCGTATATATGTATATAGAGCCAGGTGGGGATGCAAAAACAAAGGTCTAAAGTGATGAGACACTAATGTTTTTGAGTTTTTGAGAAGGCCACAAGTGTTCACAAGTTGTTTTGGTACTTAATTGTCTGTCCTGTTAAATACTTGTTCCATTTTTTTGGTCCACATTTGACGGGTTTTAACTTCAACTTGAAGACCCACAGAGTGTTAAAGCTCTCATTCATTTGTAAGTCTTTATGATTTTCTTTTGAGAAAATCTGTCTGTCATGGAATCAGTTGTTCAGGTTTACAACACGTAAACAGTTCCTCTTCACTAATGGAACGTTCTGATTTTTAGCTCTAAAGATACTTGGAAAGCTTTTTTCATTGCATGTGGTAGGGAGGCAAAACTAACAGCTGATTTCTGTTAATAAAAGCTTTTTGCTATGGTTATGATTTGTGCTTATTTTTATTATGCCCAAAAGGCACATCCTCTGTTCCTGTGGGGTAAATATCTTAAGGAAACTAAAAAATCTACCAGACCTGTGCTCCCTCAGACACGATTTCCACTCCCTGTTCTCCAGAATTTGATGTTTTGCTTTCAGGAGAGTATTTTGATGTCTGTGTTCATACCTGTTCGTTATTATGTGCACAGCTGAGTTTTCTGTGTTTTGTGGGATTTTCTCTGTGAACAGTGATTGAATTTGGTGATTCTAATGGAGGATCATTGTCATCACTGTGTTTGTCTCAGACTCACTTGTGGTCAGTGTTGGCTAATGGACAGTAAATCATAACCAGAAGGTGCAACAAACTCTGTAATTAACAGTCGTGATCTGTCTCTGTGAAAAACTTAACCTAAATTAAAGCATACAAAAAGATACTTTATTTGAAATTCAATAGAGTTTTTCATGAGTAGGTGACATGATCTAGTTGAGCATGGTATGGTTTTGTTTTGCAATATCCATTCCTTGAAAATATGAAATGTTTTTCTCAGGCTTGGGTAATTTTCCTTTCAACTGTTATGGTTAAAGTTACTGGAAGTTTTTAACCTGTAAGTAAAATGAGTTTTATTTTTCCATTGAACTTTTGATAAATGTGTGTGTTTTCTCTCTGTAAAATACTTTTTTACTCAAACTTCCTATGCTTGAGTGAATCATACATGGATAGGCTATAGAATAGGTCAGTATGCAAATTTTGGGATTAGATTTACAGATGCATCCGTTGATGACAGTGACTTATTTGTTGGAAATTTATGTTCTATTCCCTCTTGTATCCACCTGGGATCTTGTATCCAACATGTAATTTTAGCCTATTTCACACATAATATCTTAGTAATACAAATGTATCTTGAAGTGAGAAGGAGCTTTTCAATTATGTGAATTTCAGATGTCTCACTTATACCAGGGGTTCTGTGGTCATTGAGCTGTTGAGGGAAAGGGTCAATCAAATTGGAAAAGGAGGTAAATTTTGCTGGATTTGTGAGGAACTGAAGTAGCTGTCTCATTCCCAAAAATGGGAAAAATAGGAAGAGAAATCTTGTATGAACCCTTTTCCCTCTAAGAGAGAGGAATGTGTGAAGTGTCTGTTTTCCCACTGAACAGGAGACACAGATTTTCAGATTGTACCACAGAGCATTTCTCAGTAGGGGGAAGCTGGTGGATGAGGCAGCTGGATAGAATTTGAGGATAAGAGGGTCATGCAGTGTGCAGGAACTGCCAAATGCCTTGATATCTTTAATGTCTGCATTTATCTGATCTGTAATTTAAAGTAGCAACTAATGTTTAGAGTTAGGGCACTGTTACAAAATATATTTAAATATGCAAAAATCTGGGGTTTTTATCTGCTCTTGACATCTGTACGCTCTTAGTCATTAAACTAATGGTGATGTAGTGCTACCAACAAAAAATATTTGTCTTGTGCTCCAGCAATAAGGAGGAAAAAGAAGAGGGTTGTACTTTGCAGTTAATGGAAGAGAAAGATCCAAGTCAGGACCATGGTGACTAAATTAACAGTAATTTCTGTAATGAAGTTAATTTTAGTAATTTCTATAATGATCATTATCTTTTTGTTGTTAAACTTATCCTTTTTTTGCTCAGTATTCTGAGGAATAATGAATGAAAGTGGGAAGTAAACAACTTTGTTACTATGAGGCTGGGTTTCTCCCCCCTCCCCAGCTCAAGAAAAGATACCTGTCTAAGTGTTTTGGTGTTAGCAGCAAGTCCTAAAGTGCTGCAGATGAAGATCTAGTTGTCTGTCCTCTCTCTTTTGAAATTGTAGATATTACAGTGTGCAAAGAGGGCTCTGTTGGAGTCTGTCTTTACTCCCTGAGCCCCATTTTTCACAGGGACAGATGGATGGAGAAGATGCAGCAGAATAAATATGTGCAGGAAGAGAGCTTTTTTCATTTCATGGCATTAGGTGGTGCATCCCTATAAATGTGGGTGCTTCTGACCATGGCAGTTACGGTGCCATTATAGTGATGCTTTAGTGATCTTCAAAATTCTGCTCTCTTAATTGAACTTCTCTCAAGAACATTCTCTTACTTACTGGAAAAATAACTTACACTGCAACTTAAAACGTCTTACTGTTGCTTGCCCCACAGAACACTTGGGGTTTTATCTCTTTCAAAACCACTTTTAGTTTTTTCCTTCACTGATGGTACCAATCGAGCAAAGTGTTTGATCACTGTTTGTGTGTTTGCCTGCATTAGGGTGGCCTGGCTTTCAAGGATAGCATAGTTCCTTCAGTAGAATTCTTCCAGCAAAGCCCACAGTAACTCTCTTATCATCAGAGAAGATCCATATCCTACTCAATAAAGAAGAAAAAAACTTTAGAGAGTAATGGATTCTGTTAATGTAACTAAGAGAAATATTCACCATCAGGTCTTGCCATTAATGTGTTTGTGTTACTGTCCAATACCTGTTGCTAGCGGGCTTTATACATTTATTTAAATAAATACAAGCAATTTCAGATCTGAGGATAAATATTGTGGGTTTATTTTGCTCAAACAAGGCTTGCATTTTTTAATGGAATATATGGCACAGTGTGACAGTAAATGTATTTTGGGCTCTGACCTTGTATAGAAGAGATAGTGTATTTGACTTTAAGATTTTGTCTGTAAAAGGTATAATGAACATACACCATAGCCTGGGAATAATAAAAAATAGAAATTCAGGAATGAAACACAGTAATATATAACTCTAATTTCTAACCAAAAGCTTTTGCTACAAGGTAAATGGGGTGCCAATATTTTAATGCATGCCTGAAAGTTCAGCTGATTAAAACCTCAGAGTGACATTTGAAACAAGGAACCTTTTGCTTTCTTATATTTTACACATATATTTCCAATTGAACAAAAATCCCTCTTTGCTTTTCATAAATGTAACTATAATTTCAGCAGAAAGAAAATCGTGGATTAATACTTAGGTGATTATTCTTCAAAGGTATCACCCAAGCACTTTTTCCATTTGTACAGTGTTGTCAGTGAGATCATTGTGGGATGATGGGGAGAGTTAAACCTAGATGGGATTCAGAATTTCAGGGTAAAAAGCAGCTGCAACTCCCTGGACAGACTGAGGTCGACGTGCTCCCCAATACAATGTTAAACATCTGCTCAGAGGAACAGAACGGAGTGTGGAAGCAAGTGGAGACTCTGTGACCCCCTCCATTCTGATCCCAGCGGAATGGGAGAACATTGTGGAACTGAGACCGTACAGTGCCTGTCTGACAAGGGAGAATCAAGATGTTCTGCTGCTGAAGCCAACAGCCACATCAAACCCCTTCCTCAGATGCCAAGCCACAACCACCACCCCCTCCCATTATGTAGACCAATCAGAAACAAAAGGTATTTCTGACTAGAGCCACTCAAACTCCACCCAAACACAAATAAAGTAGTATAAAAGTAGGTTGTGGACAGGGGGAAAGTGGGAGAAGACCTCCACCGAAACTGCTGGGATCGGTCGACGGGCTGAGTCCATCTTCTCTCCCCCCAGAGGGACGCCTTGGGTGAGAACTACACTCTACACACATTAAATGCTGCTTTTAGAACTAGGGCTTTTGCTTGTGCTTACCCCATAGCATATTAGCAGATTGCTTCGTATCAGAGCTTGTACTTGCTTAATATCTGGATCAGTAGATTGTATTATCACTGACAACCTTTGAACCTTATTAACCTGTCCCAAATTGTATTAATAAAAAGTGTTATTCCCTAAACTGTTAAAGTGAGTCCTTGCAGTTGCAGGGAGCAGAAAACACCTTGGCGGGACCCGCTGAGGTCTGAAATGCATTTCTCACAAAAATGCTGGAGGGTGATTTTTTTCAAGATGTTTAGGTAATGCACAGTCCAGCTTGTTGCACACATTTTTGATTTTGGAAGTAATGAGTGATTATATTATAGCATATTTTATTATATAATATATTACTATTTTGATATTGTGAATACCTTTGTGCATTACATTTGTTAAAAAACAAACCAAACCAAACAATGGTCCCCCCAAAAGAACCTCCAAAAAAACCCAGTGGTAGATATTTATCCAAATAATCCAAACAAAAAGGTTTCTTGGGTTCGGGTTAGGAGTGGGAAGTGGAGAATGAGGGACAAACTGTTAGGTGGCAGAAATGGCTGCACAATTTAGAAACAGCAATAGTCCTCTAAAATGTCCAAGTTTGATTTTATAAAGGACTAAAATCTGTTAGGTCTGCTGATAATGATTGAGACGGATAACTATTGAGATAATTATTGAAGTATTTACTCTTTATGAAAATGGAGTAGATGATAGCTGTAACTTTTGGCAAGGTATTGTACAGCACAGAAAAGAGAGTTTTGTCTGTCCTGTTTCCTGAGGTGTTGCTCTGAGTTGCTTTCTCATTTTTTTCTTATTCCAGATGAAGAAATGAACACATCTTTATTCCCATGTGGAAGAATCTACTAAATGCATCCTAACACCAAACTAAGCAGTTAGTTTACTCTTTATTTTTTCAGATCCAGGTGCTCACAGGAAATATTCGGTGGGTGGCTCTTGAGAAGGAAATGGATAGAAATAATTTGGGGCACAGAAGTGGTTATAATATGTGCTAAAACTAGATTGAAACATAAATAAGGACATTTTTATGTTTATGTTCCTTCTAGTTTTCTTGTCTCGAGAAACTCCTCAAAATGCCCCTTACTGACTTTGCTTGTGTTTTACTGTGAAGTTCTATGAGTTTAAATTTCACTTTTATGGACTGTTGGAGATCTAATGGTCAATAGTTTGATTGCTGTTACCTTGCCACACCTAAAAGGAACTCTTTGTGCTTTTAGGGAACTGAAAGGAGTTTTGAAATTTGTATAAATGGAACCAAATCAAGGAGTTGTGTGTAAGGCTTGAGTTTGTATTTTGTTTTTCAATCCAAAAGTCTAAATCTGTTAGTTATCATCTCTAGTGATAAGTCATTGCCCCAGGAAGCATCTTGTAAATTGTGTCTCTGACACTTTGTATTAATAGATTCATTTTTTTGGCATTACTTTGCTATTCTAGAAAATTGTCCCAAAGCTCTGTTTTTATCTTAAGAAATTTTAATAGCAAATTGTACTTTAGTAGTGCCCAGTGTCTGTTTCAGTTAATGGCTTGTTGTTCACCCCTTTCTATTGCTTTGCACGTCATTTGTTCAGTAAATTTGATCAGTCTCTGTGGAATTCCTCAGGTTTTGACTTGAAAAGCTGCTGTGTCATTTTTGCAGTACCCAAAGTCAGCCTTAAGCCAGTCAGACTGACCTCAAAGCAGGGCTAGCTATGCACACTGAGTTCACTTCCTCTCAAGAGGAGAGAAATAAATAAGTTCCACTTTCATTTAAAAGCAAAAGTTGAATTTGAAGATGTGTTTTTGTATCCCTGATCCTGCCAAGAGTGGTACTTTAGTAACTGAAGGTCCCCTCAGTGCATTTCTATCTGTTACTGATGGACCACTGTCTGCTATGGAACCAGAGATATCAACACCTGGTGCAGCATTTTCAATTCTTAATTGAATTTAAATGGGAATTTCTTTCATGCCCTGTAATGGAAAGAGCAGATCTGGATTTGAGCATTGTGTTCACCTCAGCAGCCCACTTTACGTAGTGTGTTGTTGCAATTTCCTTGTAGTTACACACCCAGGTTTGTTCTCCCAGGCTCCAGAAGAAATCACATTCAGTTGTCCTTCAGCTACTTCTGGGAACGCTGGTTCTGTGTCTTCCCTCCCAGAATCAGTAACTAGGGAGACTTTTCTGTCTAATGCAAAGACTGAAATTATTTCTAAGGGTAACACTTTACCTCAGTGTCTTGACTTAAAAATTCAGCTGGTTCAGCAGCTGACGAGGTGACTGAGTTCAGCTGAGCTTCAGGAATTCTGAGTAGTCACTCTGTCTTTTTAAAACGATTTACCCATCTATATCACAAGGATTTTTTTCAGTCACATATTCTTAGCTTCCTCTTTCCTAACCCAAGTCACAACCTGTAAATACTTGGCAGCTGTTGAAAGGCCCAAAAGTCTGTTGTTCTATATGAGCACTAGTATGTGGCTGGTACAGGTCTGTTGAAGAAATCCTCTCACATTGTCCATGAATGCTTGTCCAGTTCTGACTTCTGGTCACTGTTGCTGAAGGGAATGTGTAAGGTTTCTTTGCTTATGATCACTGCTTTTGTCAGATTCAGTATTCACTTTTTTCAAAAATTCATCTCCCAAATTCTTAATATTAAAACAGTGTTTGTATATGCTAAAACAGTTTTCTTTGTTTCATTTATTACAGTCAATATAGCTCCCTAAAAGCTCAGTCTCTCTATTGTCCTTAAAATTGCTTTGAAGATCAACTCGATCTTCTTAGAATTATTAAAAGTTAAAAAAAAAGAAAGAGCATCTTGATTTTCACTTTATCTTTTGAGCTTTCAATTGGAAATGGGTCTGTGTGGTTTGGCAAAGTACCAGTTCTTTGGTTATATGCTTCCATTTTGTTACCATGACAAATTCTAATCTCTGAGCTGTGGTTCCTGATCAGATCTGAACTTGCTTGGAAAGTCCCAGAGGAGGAAAAGAAAAACCACCCAAGTCCCATAAACCCAAACAAAATGGTTGTGCAAAGATTATTGTTTGCATATTCTTTTTAAAGGAATATATTGGCATCTGAAGAAGAGAGCTGTAATTGCAAGAGGGTGTTGATTCTCTAACACCTATGGTCCATAAGTGAGCTCACAAGACAGAAATAGCACAGCTGGACCTCAGCAATGAAAAATGCAGAGTGTTTCAAAGAATTAGGTGTTGATCTTTGTTGGGGGTTTGTTTTCCATTACTCTTTCTTTTAAATGAATGAGCTTCTAGTTGGTTTTGCCTTATATCCTGGGTGCATCAAACAGAGCAAGCACAGGGGTGGCCTCCCTCACATGGGGCACAACGTGCAGTTCTGGGCCCCACAATTTAGGAAGGATGTGAAGGTCCTTGAATGCACCCAGAGGAGGGCAAAAAAGCTGGTGGGAGGGCTGGAAGAAATGTCCTGTGAGGAGGGGCTGAGGGCTTTGGGCTTGTCTAGTTTGGAGAAGAGGAGGCCAAGGGGTGACCTCAATACTCTCTACAGTTTCCTGAGGAGGGGAAGTGAAGAGGGAGGTGCTGAACTTCTCTCCCTGGTATCCAGTGGCAGCATGTGTGGGAATGGTACAAAGCTGCACTGGGGGTGGGTTTAGATGGAACATTACGAAGCCTTTCTTTACCAAGAGAGTGGTTGAACCCTCGAACAGGTTTCCTAGAGGGGTGGTCCATGCCCCAAGCCTGTCAGTGCTCAAGAGGCACTTGGACAGTGCCCTTAGGAACAGCTTTAACATGGTCAGCCCTGAATTGCTCAGACAGTTGCACTGGATGGTTGTTGCAGGTCCCTCCCAACTGAAATTCCTGTTCTACTCTATTCTATTATATTTTGATGCAGGGTTTCATAGAAGTCAGAAATCATTTATCTAATAGATAGTAGTTTAAAGTTGTGTATTATTTCTGTTATTTTCTAATTGTTCATAGCTTTTTTTCTTAAATTGCCTCTAGCACTGGAAACAAACCTTCAGAAGGAAAAATGGATCGCTTGTCTTGGTCATCAGAAACTAACAGCTTTCGACGTTTCACCCCTGAGTCCTTGGCTGCAATTGAGCAAAGAATTGCTGAGAAAAAAAAGCAGCCAGACAAAGAAAAAGAGAAGCATAAGGACCAAGGAGTTGAAGAACAACTTACTCCCCAGCTTGATCTGCAAATCTGCAAAAAGCTGCCATGTCTTTATGGGGACATTCCATCAGAGCTCATTGGGGAGCCCCTGGAGGATTTTGATCCATACTACAGTGACCACAAGGTTAAAACTTCCAAAAGCATTTCTTTGCTTTAACTTTGTCTGCTGAACTCTTAAGAGATAGTAAAAGCTCTAGTTGGGAGATGCTGGGTTTTGACTGTTGTGCAGACAGGTCTTTCAACATTCCTGACATCTTTTGGGGCAGGAGTGCTAAGGTGTGCTCTGCTTTATACCATGAAGAGGTATCTTCAGTTCCAGTCAGCAGTCAGATTTAATTATGAAGACAAAATACACAATTTTACAGGAAATATATTCTGGGATAAGGGATTCTTTGTTTTGCAGAGCAACTTCTATGATGCCTGTGAGGCTGAACTCCCTGTGGTATAAACAGGGCCTGTCCAAGAGTAGGTCATGCTGGAACTGCAGATGCTTTCACTGAATTACAAAGATTATACCAATTAGGGGAGGCATATTTGAGATATTTCCATCACTCTGTGTAGCAAATCCATGCATTTGCATTGTAAATTAATTTTCTGTTATTTTATGTCTCGTTGGCTTTGTTTATTGTACCATATTTATATTGCAAATCCTCCATGTGATTGCAAAGGGGTTGGTGTTGTTTTCTGTGGGAGTGTCTAAAGTAGATGCTGTAGGAATCCCTCCTCAATTAAATGTCTGTTGTATGATTGCTTACTGTTGAGGGAGACTTGACCTGAAGAGCTGGAGGTTCCATGCAGTGCTGTGCTGCTGTCTTTATGAAATGACCAGCAAGGCATTGGAATATAATAATTGAAAGGGAGAACATGCAGAAGACTTTGTTCTTCCAGAGATTTGTTTTCTCCAAGTAATCAAAGTAATAGTGTTGATGAAGAGAAACTGAGGCTGATTCAGTTGAAGACATGTAGATTAGGAAACCGTGTTTTTCATTCATGATATCTCATTTTTACATGTAGCACAACTACAGAGCTGCGTGGAACTTGAGGTAGCTTAGAAGGAATTTACAGTGTTGCTTGATAATTTAGGGATACTTCAGATTTTTAATTTTTCCTGTGGATGTCAGGGATTCTGACAGTCCTACAAAATATGTATTTTGTAAATAAGGTTTTGTAGCCTATGAAACTATCCAAGAGTAAGGTACTTTGGAGTATGACTGTGACTATTGTTGCCGTTCTAGATTAGTAATTACTAGTTAATTGCCTTAAGTAATTTAATTACTTTGACCAAGTGAATATGATCGCTTGCTCTTCGCATTCATTCTCATGACTGCTTCTTCCTCTCAGGCAGTAATGCACTTTTATAGAGTTACTGTCTTTCCTTCCAAATGGGTATGGCCAGGTCACAACTCCAAGTAAGAAAACAGGAAAGCTTTTCTCATAATTGCAGTTCGATATAGTTCTAGATGCAGACTTGAAAACATGAACATTTACTTTTTGGGGAAATTTTAATTCCTTTAAATATTTCACATCCTATGAATCTTTTCTTTGTAGACTTTTATGGTGCTTAATAAAAAGAGGACTATTTTCCGGTTTGCTGCCACACCTGCCTTGTGTATATTTGGTCCTTTTAATCCAGTCAGAAAAGCAGCAATTAAAATTCTGACCGATTCATATCCTTTCATTGGTTTCCCTTATTTGAATTTTAAAATATTCTGTACCATTTTCTGTCATTCTGTTCCTTTCTTTATATGAATGTGAACATAAACTGTGATATATATATGGCTGTGATAGAGATCTTTTAAAAGTTATATTGAATCTAATGTTACAACAGCTGAGATATTTCCATGATGTTGGTACAAGCTGATATTTAAAATCAATTTTGCAGATATTGGTGTGAAACAACCTTTAGAGGCTATTGTATGATAGTGTAGCCCTTTTCCAGAACTTGTTCGAAATCTCTGATGTGGTCACAAGGTTAAATTAAAAACATACAAACAAACAAGCAAAGCAAACCAGGGACTCCCTAGTTATTAAGATATGAAAGATGGGATTTATGGTGAAGCTTTGCTGGAAGAGTCTCCTGTTCTCCTAAGTTTAGAATGTTCTGAAGAGTGCCCATCTTTCATATTTTTGAAACAATATAACTGTTGTTTGGAGAATGTCAGAATGTGAAGGATTTGCAGATGCAAAACCATCAAGTGAGTAGTTTCTGCTTTTTCTGCTAAACATCTGTTTTCGTTTGTAGAAATAGATCCTTTTAGTGGAGTTTCTATCTGACTTTGAATGTGCAATCCTACTATTAAAAATTACTAAATTTACTATTCACTTTCAATTAAACCCTACATTTAAGAACAATGTTTATTTAAAAAACACCCCAAACAGTTTTATTAGATGGCAGGTGAACTGTCATGAATGTTTTTTCTTATACACGTTTTCACTGCCTACCACACAAAGTGAGAAAGCTTTCTGAACTCCTGCAGAGCAGGGGGGTGTTTTGCTAACGTGTGGATATGGAATCCCAGTTTCAAAGAACATTGGTTATTATTAATGAAGCTTTTTCAACTGGTTTTCATTGATTTATGTTTCTCATCTCTTCTGTTAAACATGTTATGTCCCACTTAAGTTCTAACTTAGTTTCTTTGGAAAACACATGAAATGTCCTGAGCATATTCAAAACCAAAGTCATTATTTGAATGCCTATATTTTTTTTGTGTGGAAATCAGGACCTTCTGTGAACTTCATTGTTTTATAATATAACATTTTTTTCCTTAACTTACTATTCACAGATTTTGTTGCCTTTATTATATGTACCGTGTTACTCAATTGTGTGCTTATGACTGTACGTCAGCTCCCACCAAGACTCAGGTGGACTGAGTAAGTATCCCAGTGGCTCTGTGTTCCCTCTTTTTCCATGGATACAATTTTAAAAAATGTGGTGATCTAATTCAGGGCCTTGAAAAATTTCACTGAGACCTTTGAGGAAGATTGAGGATTGTTATTATATCTCCCAGTCTTTGGTGGAGCTTCAGTGCCTTTTCTCAGAGGCTCACACCATGTGCCCTTTCCTCTGTGTTGGCTAATTTTGCCATCTGCTGTGACATAGAAGATTGGCCCATTTTTTCTTTTAAGGAATGAGCCTTTTAGAGAGACTGTGGGGTAGAATTCTAACTTAATATCTCTCCTTCTACAGCAATAACCTGAATGTCTGTTATGGTTGGCTCATGCAAAAACTAGAAAGGGATAAATGTCCATTCTGTTCTTTCTTCCTGTTTCCTGGTGACACTCCTGGGTCAGTTGTTCCCATTAGAAAGGCATCTCTTTGTAATGTCTTGCTACCTTTTGTGCTTGTGCACTGTATCCAGTGCAACTTGACTTGTTGTTCTAGAATTAAATCTTGAAAATGTCCCCAGAGCCCCTTTTATCTTGGGGTAAGCATGGTGATAAGAAGAGCTTAATTTTCTGTAGGTTTGCTTTCCGTTATGGCATATTTGTCAGAATAACTGTATAAAATGTGCAAACTTTACAGGCTGAAATATGTCTTTGTTCAGTTGTTCTTTTGTTCTATTGTTCTGCCAGACTGTTGAGGCTTTGAGATTTTCCAGCCTGCTTTAGAATATAAACACAGTGTTAAAAATGTTTGCTAAGGAAGTGTGAGCTATCCTTCACCCAGAAATAGTATCGTAGGCTTCTGTGAACTTTTGTGGTTACAGATTTACTATCTGAATCTTACTAGAATTCAGGGACACATCTTACAGCCATGATGCTTCAGAAAGTAATGTAACCAGTCCTATCATAGAAAATGCCTGAATGTGCCTGAATGTGACTCAATCTCATTAATATTTTTATTTCTATAATCTTAATATACACTTTCCTCCTCAGATGGTTTTTTACTGCCATATATACTACTGAAATATTGATAAAAATAGTAGCAAGAGGATTTGTTTGGAATGAATTTACCTTCCTTCGAGATCCGTGGAACTGCTTGGATCTTTCTATTATTATCATAATGTAAGTAAAACTCAGTTGCTCTTTTACACTCAGGGGACAAAACCACAGATGATTTGATGTTGCTGAAATTCCTGAGAGTGTTTGACCTCCTACCTGCTAAAGAGTTACTGTGCTTGAACCACCATTTGCATATGTGCAAAGAGAAAAATAGTCATAGACTGGCTCAACATGGTTATGCTTTGAAAAGTTACATCCTTGCCATTCAGTTACATGTGGTTTCATTTTATAGGTACGTTACTACGTTTAAAAAAATGGGCAATGTTTCAGCTCTTCGAACTTTCAGAGTACTGAGGACTTTGAAAGCCATTTCAGTAATACCAGGTAAGGAACAATCTTACTGCTATCCTCTCCATTTCACCAGTCTGCTAATTCTGATTCCTCTCCTGTTCTTGTCCTCAGCTTTCTGGTCATTTCTTGTGACTGCTGATGGGATCTCAAGGTGTGACTGTTTTACAGTTTGTAGTAACTCTCAGCAGCACCCTAACAGAATTATTTTAATAATTTTTCCTCCAAATGGTTTTGACAAAGGCAAATTTAATTTCTGCACTTTTTATCCCATCACTAATGTTCAATTTTAATTAGCCCGGTGCCCTTTTCTTTTAACCTTAGTCTTCCTGGAGCAGCCTCCTCTATTTGATGTGTTCTCTTAACACAATATGGTTATACCCCCATATTTCTGTTCCCTTAGCTTAATTAGCTTGCTAAGATTCATTGGCTTAAACTTCTCTGGTTTCTTCCTGAGAATGCTGACTTTCAAATATTTGAGACTTTCATTTGTTTCCTTGCATGACTTTGCTAGGATACCATCTTAATTTAGAATTTGCAAGATAGTAAAATTAGTGTTAGTACTAAACAGAAACCAAAGAAATTATGATTAGGAAATTTAGGGAAAAATGCTTTACTCACTGCTATGCTTTGTTTTACTACATTTAATACTCAGAAGTTACAAACCCTTTTACTCTGATTGTTTTTAACATCCTTGCAATGCTGTGTCTTGTCATATGGGAATGTCACTACATTCCTCTTCTCATTTTGCATATTATTGGATCTTATTTTTCTAGGTTTGAAAATCCTGGTAAATTCAATTATTGAATCTGTTAGGAAACTTGCTGACGTGTTGATCTTGACTGTATTTTGCTTGAGTATATTTGCCCTAATAGGCCTCCAGCTTTTTATGGGCAATTTAAGATTCAAATGTGTCCTCAAAAATACTGAGTACAATGACTCATTATGTAAGGATCCCAAGATCTATGTACCAAGTGATGAAGGTAAATATTATTCTTTTCTCTCTTTACATAATTTGTGTATTTTCCTATGAATGTCTTGAATTTCAGAGGTATGTTAAACTGAACTTGTGTGTATTTCTCCCAAGAAGGAAAACCCTTCCATTTGCACGAGTCTTAATAGGAAGTCTCTGGGACAAGTGAATGTGAAATTAGTGACTCTTGGATTTGGAGAAAGATCAGCAGGCTGTGGGATAGATGGGGCTGAGTTTTCTATAAGCATTTGCCTTTTTACCTGTGCATGGTACAGGGATCCTAATTCTAGGAGTACTGCACAGGGTATGGTTATTTTCCCATCACTTTTTCTATATTTCAGGGATTTTGCCTACTTCTCACAGAGATTCTTACTTTTACCAGAGAATCTGGTAAAGAAATGAGATCTTACCCTGTGAGTTGTGCAGTAAAGAGTTGCCACATTTTTTAAACTGTCGTAGAGACAGATCTGCTGAGAATCAGCTTCCCAGAGCTTTGATCCATCAGGGTGTTTATCAAGTGCAGTAAATGTATGGTTTCCTGTCAGAAGGCTGTGCAAACTGACAACTTCTGATTTTATGATTCCTTGATTTATTTTTTATTAGATATCTGCCACAGAATGAATGGCTCTTCTGACATATTGCTCTGTGGGTTCAGTTCAGATCCCGAGTAAGTGAACAAAGCAGTTTTAGTACTTTCTTAATTTGTTCCTCCAGATGTGCTGTGGTTTTATTTCTGGTCTAAAGGAATGGTGAGGATTTTTCAGGAGGATAGGGTGTGTGTGTGTCATTAAATTAAAAGGCATATATTTCACCTCAGAAAAAGAATGAAGTACAAGGATGCAACCAGTTATGTATGTACTTTGTTGCTAACCACGGGGAATGTAATGGTAAGGTAGAATGATATAAATGAGGAGAAGAAGAGATCAGTAAAGACCTGTCAGAAACTCTCCTCTCTTCATCTTGGTGAATTATTTAAAAGTAAAAATAATTCCATTTTCCCCCCTCTGTGTATTTGTTTGCACATATCCAACATCAGGAGAGAATTTTTGTCTAGTCCTACACTAAGATTTCTGTCTAGTTTACTCTGATTAGACAAATGGTTTTCTAGGATGGTTTGATATAAATCAGCCCTTCTGGCAGAATTAAAATGGGGAATAATGAAAAGGACTTTCAGATAAACTGAACAAAACTGGTGTTGTTTATTGGGTGCTTTCAGGTACCGTTAAATCTCCAAGTAAGTATTGTTTAATCTTTATTTTGGGGTTAGGAAAGAGTGCCCAGAAAACTATACCTGCCAGAAGATTGGGCAGAATCCTGACTTTGGTTATACAAGTTTTGATCATTTTGGCTGGGCCTTCCTCTCTGTATTCCGTCTGATGACACAGGATTCCTGGGAGCGTCTCTACAGACAGGTGGGTACTTTTATTACCTGATAGAATGACTTGACACATCCTGATTCCTCACCAAACCTTTTGGCTCAACTCTTTAGTTTCAGATCATTTTTGACAACTGATACTAAAAATTTGGAGGCTTGATGTTTTGATTCAGAGAGCTGAATGTAACTTTTGAATTCTGGTGGGGATTTTTTTCAGAAATGCTATAAAAATGCATGTAGACAACTCTCTGGATCCCTTATGTCTATGCAATGCCTTTGCTAGCCAAGAATTATCCTCTACCTTGTTCTGTAACTTTTTGTCCATTTTGACTTTTTTTTCCATCAACCTTTATTAATTAGGACTTTTTAAAATGGATATATCTTCTTCTTGCCATTTGAAGCTCACATGGTTTTTGGGTTTTATTGTATCAAAGCTTAATTTTGAGCCATCTCCTCTTCTGCCATTTTAAAAAAGTGTAAAGTTAGTTTGAAATTGTATTGTAAACATTAGTTTGTTAAGAATATATCACAACTTTTACCTTTTCCTCACAGACTATCCGTACATCTGGAGTGACCTCCTTTTTTTTTTTTATGGGAGTCATCTTTTTCTGCTCATTTTATCTCTTCAATCTGATCTTGGCTGTAGTAACTATGGCATATGAAGAGCAAAACAGATCTAGTCTTGCTGAAACAGAGACCAAGAAAAAACTACTTCAGGAAGCCCAAGACATTTTAAAGAAAGAACAGGTTTGTAAATTATTACATATAATAAGTGGTTCCTTCTGTTTTCTTCTGTATGTGAATTAGGGAAATGTCGTTTTGAATTAAACATGTGCTTCTTGCAATACTTTCTCACACTTCATTTCTCTTTGTGTCTCTATAAATGCATCTGTGTATGTATATATGTATTTGAATATATAAACATTTCTGTGATACAAAAAACATCATTGAATTTTAGGATTTGCAGACCTGACATTTTACAGGAATGGCTTGCTGGCAAGTTTGTACCTTTTATGGTATTGCATAGGTGCTGCACTCCATGGTTTTCCATGCTTCTTGTATACTACCATTATTGCTGTGGACAGAAATTCCTTTCTCTGGGTATTCCTTCTTCCTATTACTGTGTAGTCTCATGAAGGAAATATGAGTGGATACATTTACATCCATGAGAAAAATTGTCATTTCTGCAGTTCCCAGAAGTTGGAAGTTCCAGTGCTGATAGATTTCAGACCTGATTAAAAATCCTTCCAAGAGCCACAGTGCTTAGCACTTTAAAGGTTGTCAGGCCTCTTTCTGAGTGATGGGATGCAGGAGGTCTATCAGTTGACAAGAACAGGAATAGTCTTTAGCCAGGATAATGCTGTTTGTTTCGTATTAAGTTTCCTCTTGACATCCATAGACTGCATTAGTTTCTTTGCTGTTGTTTTGGAGAGTTAATAGACACACATCAGATTTCCAGTGTTTCCTCTTGGCATAGTAGTGTTCCAGTCATTCATACCTTGGTCTGTAGGGGACCAGGGATCGCCTGTTTTTATTTCTGATAATCACTGAGTCATGGAATCATAGAATGGTTTGGATCGCAAGGGACCTTCAAGATCCTCCAGTTCGGGATGGAGGTCTAGTTCCACTAGACCAGATTGCTCCAAAGCCCATCTAACTTGGCCTTGAACACTTCCAGGGATGGGGCATCCAGAACTTTTCAGGACAACCTATACCAGTGCCTCACCACCCTGCCAGGAAAGAATTTATTCATAACATCTAATCGAAATTTCTCTTCTTTCCCTTTAAAACCATTAGCCCTTGTCATGTCACTACTTGCCCTTATAAAAAGTCCCTCTCCAGCTCTCTTGGAGCCTCTTTAGGCACTGGAAGGGGCTCTAAGGTCTTCCTGGAACCTTCTCTTCTGCAGGCTGAACGACCCCAACTCTCAGCCTGTCTCCAGAGCAGAGGTGCTCCAGCCCTCAGAGCATCTCCGTGCCCTTGGGCAGGTCCATGTCCTGCTGATGTTGGGGGGGGCCTGGAGCTGGACACGGCAGTGCAGGTGGGGTCTCAGGAGAGGGGAGCAGAGAGGGAGAATCACGTCCCTTGACCTGCTGCCCATGCTTGTCGTGATGCAGCCCAGGACACAGTTATTTCTGGGCTGCAGGCCCACCCTGCTGGGTCATCTCAAGCTTCTCATCCACCAGAAGTGAAGCTCTAAGCCAAGGCAGCAGGATGGGTTGAAAATTATTGGTACGACCTATTGTATCTTGTAACTTTTTATAGAAGATACCTCTGATTTACTGCTTACAGTCAAAAATGTCAGATTTGTAATAGGCCATATGAATATTCTCTAACAAGTATCCAATTTCCTCATTAAGGTGTAAGGCATCACCATTTTACCAAGTTCCTCCTCTAGAGCTGTTGGCAGCTCTGTAATGTTTCCCTGCCTGACATTCCAGCTTGCCAAGCTTTACTTATGCTTTTCTTCCTTCTAGTTTCCTTTTGACAGGATTAGTATTTTAGAAAAGGATTTAGATTGAGCCTTTAGTGCTCTGTTGTCTTTGGACTCAAGGTCCTTTTCAAAGCAAGAAAAGGGAAGTAAAAGGATAAACCATAATATTCTGTAATTCAGAGACAAAACACAATATCTAAAGTGACAAGAGCAAACTTGAATTACAGCAGCTGACAAGTAACCCTGTTTGGTCTTTCCATATCATGAATATCATTTTGTATTCCTGTCTTTTTATAGCAGTTTAATATTTGAAAGCTAGAAATTGTTAGTGTAAAGCATTCAGAGAGCATAATAATTTAATGAGTAAAATCTAAATTGAATATTATCCTAGTCCATGTGTTGGCATTTACCTTGTGTTAATAGACAGACCTTTGGCATTTTGTTTTACAGGAGTTGGCTGCAACAGAAAGCAGTAAGACCTTGCAGGGTGGGTCTGAAATACCAGTTGATGACTTGACAAATTCGAAAGGAAATGAGATTAATGAGGAAACACTTATTTTAAGACAAAATGTAATTTTAGGTGATCAGGAGAAAGAGGAGCAAATATTTCATTCACAGCCTGGTCACTGCCACAAGAAGCTTGTAAGTATTCAAAACAGAAAATATTCATTAGACTTCTTTGTGATATGACAATTCTATGAGCAGAAAAGCTTTCTTTGTTTGCATTTTTTCCTCTCTGTTTTATTTTTTTTCTCCTTCTTGCATTCATTGGATTAACTTGTTTTTTTAAGCAATCTGAAAATTATATTTTGGGATGTGAGGGAGACAGTACTATTTGGACTTGAAAGAGAAATTGGAAGTGGCTGTCAGTAGTACATATTATTTCATATTGAAATGATTTCACATTAAAAAAGGAAAAAAAATAGAAAGGAAAACCTAGAGCATAATCCAAACAGGGTGAGATGCTCTGACACAGAGTTCTTTTATTAGTCAAATAAACATAAACTGCAACAAATGTGGCAACTACTTGTGGCTCTCCTGCAACTGAGAACTCTTCAAACAATGTGCTCTCTACTTTCATCACAAAACAAGGCTTAAGATGCTAAGTCAAAGAGAAAAAAGTATGTCAGGTAGGAACATTTTGGTAGGACTTAATCAGTTTATAAAAACTTGAATGGATCATTCCTCTGGAGCATATCCCTATTTTAAATCCCAGTTTCTCATCCCCAGTTATTTCATAGAATCGATCGATTGGGTTGGAAAAGACCTCCGAGATCATCGAGTCCAACCCTTGGTCCAAATCCAGTCCATTTACTAGATCATGGCACTCAGTGCCACATCCAATCTGCGTTTAAAAATCTCCAGGGATGGTGAATCCACCACCTCTCTGGGTAGCCCATTCCAATGCCTGATTACTCTCTCTGTAAAGAATTTTCTCCTGATATCCAACTTAAATTTCCCCTGGCGGAGCTTAAGCCCATGCCCCCTTGTCCTATTGCTGAGTGCCTGAGAGAAGAGACCAACCCCCACCTGGCTAGAACTTCCCTTCAGGTAGTTATAGACGGTGATGAGGTCACCTCTGAGCCTCCTCTTCTCCAGGCTAAACAACCCCAGCTCCCTCAGCCTCTCCCCATAGGACTTATGCTCCAGTCCCTTCACCAGCCTTGTTGCTCTTCTCTGGACCCGCTCCAGCACCTCACTATCCTTCCTGAACTGAGGGGCCCAGAACTGAACACAATACTCAAGGTGTGGCCTCACCAACGCAGAGCACAGGGGAAGGATCACTTCCCTGGTCCTGCTGGCCACGCTATTTTTGATACAGGACAAGATCCCATTGGCCTTCTTGGCCACCTGGGCACACTGTTGGCTCATGTTGAGCTTCCTGTCAATTAGTACCCCCAGGTCCCTTTCCGCCTGGCTGCTTTCCAGTCACTCTGTGCCCAGCCTGTAGCGCTGCAGGGGGTTGTTGTGGCCAAAGTGCAGGACCCGGCACTTGGCTTTATTGAACTTCATCCCATTGGAATCAGCCCATCTCTCAAGTCTATCCAGATCCCTCTGCAGAGCCCTCCTGCCTTCCAGCAGGTCGACACTCCCTCCCAGTTTGGTGTCATCAGCAAATTTGCTGATGATGGACTCAATCCCCTCATCTAAATCATCAATAAAGATGTTAAACAGGACTGGACCCAACACAGACCCCTGGGGAACACCACTGGTGACCGGCTGCCAGCTGGATGCAGCTCCCTTCACCAGCACTCTCTGGGCCCGACCCTCCAGCCAGCTCCTAATCCAGGAGAGGGTACACTTGTCCAAGCCATGGGCTACCAGCTTTTCCAGGAGTATATTATGGGAGACAGTGTCAAAGGCCTTGCTGAAGTCTAGATAGACCACATCCACAGCCTTCCCCTCATCCACCAATTTCCCTCAGTTAAAGACAGATGAGCAGCAGTAACCAGGTCAGTGTTGGGGAACACCCTTGTCCTTTCTAAAAACACTAACTCTGAATGCTTCTGAACAGCTGTGAATTTCAACAAGACTTTCAACCGAGGACTTTAGTCAGGCTGGCACACACATTTTTATGTATTTCTGTCTTACACCAAACATAATAGAAAGGAATGAAAGGACAAGTTGCAGTGGTAACTGGGATGTAATTAGAATAGTCTAAATGAGCCTTTTAGACTCAGAAAAACTACAGAGAGAAAAATGAGCATTTTAACACTATATTACAAATTCATTTGATATGTCCATTCTATGACAGTTCTATCAGCTAAGTTTTGAGTATTTTTTCATTAAAATATCAGAATGACAAAGAGAAATAATTATTATGAAACCCCTGAGGCCAAGAATATCAGTTTAATTCCCTGAATAACAGCTTTCTAGAATATGTTAATAAAAATCATAATATCAAAAGAGTTTGAAGTAATAGTATGATATATCCTTACTTATATACCCTTCCAACTTTCTCTGGAATTCTTTCTGACTCTCTCTACCTCAGTCTCACATATTCTTTGTAGCCCATGCTTTATGATGGTCTATTTAATCCTGAGAAAGCATGTGGGTTTTAATGTATCATGATCTGAATATTAGATAATAATTCAGTGTATCCCATAAGATACAAGTGTTGACCTGTCTGTCCTTGAGCTCACATCAGGAGCGCTGAGCTGAGCGTTCCGTGGCTTCTAATGAAAACAAAAGTAGTGCATTTCCTAATTTTGGGCAGTTCAATATTAGTCGAGATCTAGATAGGCCTAGTAGTGCTGGAAAAAACATTAGTTTTTATTAACTACTTGACTATTTTTCCTATTATTAAATGTATATTATTTATTAATCATCAATAATTATCATCGTTAAATAGACAATAGTTTATTCAAACTGATGACCAGTGTTCTTTTTGTCTGTTCTTCTCATCAGTCACTGGAAAGATGGAAGGATTCTTTTCCCTTGCCCCATTAATGTTTCTATGCTTCTTCTATAATGACATTGTTATTAAATATTTTCAGAAGGAAACAACTTCATGAAGAAATTTACTGGTTTTGATGAAATGTCCTTTGCCTTCTATAGCAAAGATCTGATAGTGTTGTATTTTTCTTTTATATATTGTCACCAAAGTAAAGCTTCCCTTCAATGTGTATTTAAAAAGGCATATTTATGTCATGCTGAACATAATTTTTTTATTGCCAGTTTTTCATATTCCCTTGGTATGTTATCTTCTGCTGTCTTTCTAACCAAAGAGGAAGATCCTGCTGTCCTATGATGTGTCAGTGGACTCTATTAATGATCCTTACAGAAGACAGAGGTTAATGAGTGCAGCCACTATTCTTACAGACTTTTCAGGTAAGTCATTTTTCCTATGGGATTGTGTAATGTGACCTGAGAGATCAAACTGTCTCAAATACTCAGCATTATTTTAAAAGCCACTGGGGAAATTATGCTGCAAATGTAAATTTCAGGAAAACAAATATTCTCATATCTCATATAATTGTGACTGTAACTCACAGTTACCAAGGGTAAATCATGCCTGACCAACTTGATTGAAAGAAGAGAATTTCAAAGTGTGTGTAAGCAGAAACGTTGCCCATTTTCAGAGGAAGAGGTTGTGCAGTCTCTGACCTGATGGCTGGCCCTGCTTGGAGAAGGGGGTTGCACTACAGATCTCCTGAGCTCTCCTCCAACCTCACTTATAACCCTGTCCTCAGCTATGGACACCTGTGGCTGGGCTGGTTCAACTCACAGGAAACAGGTTGTCATTGTCCCAGAAACAGTGATTTCTCTCCTTAATGCAGATTCTTTATCATCCTTTAATAGTGTAATCATAGAATCATGGAACAGTTTGTGTTGGATTGCACATTAAGGATCATTTTGTTCTTCCCCCCTGCCATGGTCAGGGACACCTTCCACTAGACCAGGTTGCTCAGAGTCCCATCCAACCTGGCCTTGAACACTCCCAGGGATGGGGCATCCACAGCTTCTCTGGGCAACCTGTGCCAGGGCCTCCCCAGCCTCACAGGAAAGAATAATAAACATATGAAGAGGTGGGGAATATCCCCTGTTTCTGTCATTATGACATTTGTTGGTGGTGACCTGCAATAGCCTGTGATTAGTGTAGCCTCTTTTGTGTAGTAGGAGTGAAACAACTCTTTTCAATGATGCCATTCTGCTCACATGAGATTGATTTTTCTTTCCAGTCTTTTCTCTGACTGTCTTTTTCTTCACACTCTGATATTCCACATAGGATTATTCATATGCCACTTTCCCTGTTTCTCTGCTAGAGTCAAAAGTGAAACGTCCTGCATTGTGGAAACGTTTTGCTTCAAAGTATCTAATTTGGAATTGTTGTCCACTCTGGAGAGCAGTCAAAGAGAAGGTGAAATTGGTGATTTTGGATCCATTTGTTGAACTCTTTATCATGGTTTGCATTATCTTGAACACCTTATCCATGGCTATGGAGCACCCTGGCATGTCTCCAGGAAACAGAAAAATGATTACTATAAGTGACCAGGTAAATGAGGTCTATGTTAAGGTGAATATGAAGTTATAACCCTGTATTTATACTGGAATAGTCCTATAAGAAGACAGACTTCTTGAGTGACCTTTTCTGAATTTCTTTTTTGTCTTTCCAGGTCTTCACCCTGATTTTTACACTAGAAATGATCTTGAAAATCATTGCTCTAGATCCTTACTACTATTTTCAGAACAAGTGGAATGTTTTTGATAGCTTGGTTGTTTTGATTGGCCTAGTGAGCTTTGGAACCAATCTGTCACCTTTCAGAGTGGTAATGATTTCTTTGCTCTTTTTTAAAAGTACGTGTATTGTATAGATTTGTGAATGATTACAGTGAAGTACCCTCTCATTATTTTCCTGATGAATCTGTCAAATCAGTTCTCTTTGCTGGTAAATAGTAAGCCAACAGGAATATTTCAAAGAATAGAGAGTAAAAGTTCCTTGACAGCTTTTCCTTTTGAGCTGAGATTTGTAAAATAACAGAGCTTTCCTCAGGGCTTAATCTTGGCCTTGATGGCTCTTCAGCGCTTTTCTCCATTTTAGGGAGAAAGAGGAATCGTTCTGAAGTGTCTGTGTATGACATTGCTTTTGTATTTATGTCCTTACTGCATATTTTTAATGTTAAATTTACTAATTACTTCAAAATGCTTCTTTGCATTTCAGTCCACAAGCCTAGAAATGCAGTTGAATTCTGTTTCCCCTTGTTTATCGTGATTGAGAGATTTTCACAGCCCTGAATGCTAATTTGACTAAATACCTCCGTTTTACTCGTGGGGGTACATAGAGTAGGTCCCATCTGGCTCTTCAGATCCTATTTTAAGTCTGTTTGGTGAGAAGTATAAAAAAATATTTGTCTTATTGCATTTGACCAAAACTCAGTAATTTCATAACCTTTTCCAAGTACCCGTGACCTACTTAATTGTATTCCTTTACTTTTTATTGCTATTAACATTATTACACTGGCACACTCTCGTATCTAACTTAGCACAAACAATTTGAAACCTTCCTTTGATACTTCTCTGCTCTCAATAACATTAATTGTTGGAGCTTAAGCACAGCACTTTTGCATCAAAACAATTAAAAGCCTTTCTTGGGGAAAAATGACAATGTTACTGCAGTAAAGGCAGCATGATAAATGCAGGGTCTGGTTTTTATGTGGGCTGTGCTGTCTGGGCTGTGTTTGACCTTACCTTTTTTCTCTTATGTTTTATTTTACAGATCAGGATCTTCAAATTGGCAAAGTCCTGGCCAGCCTTAAATACTCTTGTGAAAATAATTCTAAACTCATGTGGTGCTCTGAGTAACCTCACTCTGGTTTTGGCTATCACTGTATTTATTTTCGCTGTACTAGGAATGCAGCTTCTGGGCAGTGATTATGAAACAAACTTCTGTAATATAAGCACCACTGAGGATTTACGCTGGCATATGAAGGATTTCAGTCATTCAGTCCTGATTATATTCCGAATATTATGTGGAGAATGGATTGAAACGATGTGGGAATGTATGGAAGTGGCTGGAAAAGAGAAATGTATTACAATTTTCATGCTAGTCCTGGTGATAGGAAACCTGGTGGTGAGTTTTAAGCTGATTCCCAGTCTCTACTGAATGCATCCAGTTACACTGGCAACTGATTTTTGCAGAGGGAAACTTTATCATTTCAAGAGTATTCACACTATTCTCTTTTCTGGATGTCACTTGGCGTGTTTTTCTTCTATCTTTCTTTTTTTTTTCACTTTTCCCCTGTCTTTCTCTTTCTAACATAAGAGGTAGAAGCAATACAAAATTATTCCCTCTACCCACAGTATAGAAGTGCAGTGCTTCTGATAATGTGGTATCTGATGTCTTCATCTTTTGTGTTGATAGGATCCAATAACCAAACTGTTCAGTGCTTTTAATGCTTATCAACTTGTATTATCAAGAGGTTACCATACCCAGATTTTCTGGTTTGTATGACATATAGTAGATGGAATGTAAATGTACTGGAAGACAAAATCTTTTCATCTGCTTGGTTTGTTGGTCTATACCAGACCCTTTTGGATGGTGGTGTTATTAAAATTCATCTTTGCTGTTTTTCAACATATCTGTCTCCTCACACGTTATGGACATCAGAGCAGGTGAAAATATATTTGATATACCCAAACCCTCACTTCCTTCCTTTTTCTCCTGCCATTCCTTCTAGAAGGGGCCAGATGGTCCTATAACAATATTGCAATATAATAGTAAATAATTTCATGGCAATGTTGCTGAAAGCAAGACTGAGGGTTTCTGAAGTGTCTTTTCTGTTAGCGGTGGTGTCCCTAACTTACTTTAACTATTTTAAGGTGGTCAACTTGTTCATTGCCTTGGTGATGAGTTCATTGAATACTGATACCTCAGGAGGACAAGAGGAACCTGGAGAAAGGACTAAATGTCAGATTGCCCTTGCACAGATTCACCAGGGCCTGAAGTCTTTGAAAGACAGAATTCTGGATCCTTGTGGCAGAAAAATGAAAGGAAGCCTCAGAAAAACAGATAAAAAGAAGACTTTGGAAGAAATTTCTGGCAAAAACATAGAGGATAATAATTGTGTCTGTGTTCCCATTGCAAAATCAGAGAGTTACAGTGACAAAAGTGATGATGAGCACTCTGTAGTCACAGAAACAGAACACAGAAAACAGGTAAGAACTGTTCATATTTAAAAAAATACTGTAACTTACATCTGTAATTGCCATCTCAAAGACTCAACAGTAAATATTATCCCTTCTGTCATTTCTGCCATTTTACTTGCTTTGTTCTTCTAGTGCAAGGGCTACCAAATAGTCTTCATTTGCCAAAGACATTTTGAATATCCACTGTTTCACCATTTGCTTCGTGGATAGCCCTAATTCTGCTTTGGCTGTTTTGTTTCCATCTATTGCTGTCAACAAATAAATGAAGTTTGATTGACACAGACATTCCTTCTTTTTGTCTCCTTTGCCTTACACATTTTGGAAGGCAGTCTCTTCTGATGCTTCCATGTCTCAGTTGCCATTTGCTGTGGCTTTGGTCATATTAGGAGGCATTGCCAATGGCATGTCTTTGGAAAAGTTCTCAAAGAAGGAAAAATTGCTGATCACCTTAGAATCATCTGTGGCCATTTCAAAGATGTTATCCAGAAGCATTTGATGACAAAAACTGCTGCAGTGGAATCTGGTCTTTCTTGGCATTTGTGGAGACAAAAGGACTGAGAACTGATTGGGATCACTTAGGTCTTCTGCCTGTAACTGGAAGCATGAGGCTGTTGGGGTCCAGCTGCAAAGGTTAATTGGATGCAGGAATCCATCCCTGGGCTAAATGTATTTCTTGGGGAATGATACATTTCCACGGTAAAACCTCAGGAGCACAGTATTGGAAATCAAGGAAGAAACCATTCTATTACAAGCATTTTATGGATATCATTTAATTATTTGTAACAAGACAAACATGCTAGTGGAAGATTCTCTGCCCATGACAGGAGGTTTGGAACTAGTTGATCTTTAAGGTCCCTTCCAACCCAAACCCTTTTGTGATTCTAAATTTTGTGGATGTTTTAGATTCTGTTAAAGAATTCTGACTTTTAAGAATGACTGTCAGGAAGGAAAAATGTGAAAAATCAACAGTTTTACATTATTTCCTGCAGGGAGACAGATTACGACACAGAGAACAGCGGCAGAATTCAAGCAGCTTCAGTCAGATTTCTGAGACTCCTGAAACTATAAGTGTTTTCACAGTAACACATGAAAAGCAAGAGCAAAAAGAGGTAATTCTAACTTTTATCATCTTGTGGAATATGCTAGGGATTCAAACTGTCACAGCTGTTCTCTCATTCAGCAGTGACAGGACAGGCTGGGATTTTCTGAACAGTAGCAAGTATAATGCCTGTGGAGGTGGCACATCTCTCTAGAGACAGTAATAGCATGGAGGTTTGTGTCTCATCAATAGCCATGGTTAATGGTGTAACTTAATGTATAATTTTGTACAAAATAAGGAAACAGAAATTAACCAGGAAACACAATGACTTTAAGCATGTCTGATACATGCTACTTGTTTCTATGGATAATTCTGTTTGCTGTCATTCCTGGATACAAAAATGTGCTCTCTAGAAATGGTTCCCTAAACAACCATGGTTTTTCTGGTATGGAAACCCATCTCATTCTAATGTTCCATATCAAAAAAAGGTGGAGAATCATGGCTCTGATGACCCAGAAAATTAAATGGAAGTTCAGCATCTTTCTGGATTACTACCCCCAAAAGTCCAACCCCATTAATATTTTCTGGTTTTAGGCACAGTTGCCAGAAATTTTCTTTGTTATACTTTATTGAAATATATTTATATTTAAAAATAATATTGAAAACATTGAAGTGCCCATTAATGTAAATAATTGCATTTTTATATATGATGAAGATTCCCTAGGACGTTAGATTAGTGTAGAGCATCATGGGTGTCGACAGAGGAAATTCTCCCTTCTTCTGGCTTCCCATTCTTATCCCTATCCTCATGCCTTCCCTTTCCATGCCATTCAGGGCACTTACACATTATGGCTGATAGATTTCTTTATTCTTTTTTCCTTATACTTACTTTCCTTACTGTACTTAGTTTTATAAGTGTGTAGGTTACCTACCGGTGATTACAATTCTTTGAGATGTGTAGACCTGTAGTGGGTTGACCCTGGCCAGATAGCAGGCACCCACTAAAGCTGCTCTCTCACTCTCCCTCTTCAACTGGACAGAAGAGAGAGAAGAAAAACAAACAGCTAAGGATTCATGAGTTGAGATAACAACTGGGAGAGGTCACTTACTGATTACCTTCACGGGCAAAACAGACTTAAAGTGGGGATAGTACTTAAATTTATTACTAACAGGATAAGAACCAAAGAGTGAGAAATAAAACAGTCTTAAAAGCACCTTCCTCCCACCCCTCCTTCCCTCCATGTTTTCCCTCCTCCCCCTCAGCAGTACCGGGGGACGGGAATGGGGGTTGTGGTCAGTTGTTGTTTCTGCCGCTGCTCAGGGAGAGGAGTTGGAGTCCTTCCCCTGCTCCCGTGGGGTCCCTCCCACAGGAGACAGTCCTTGATGGACCTCTCTGGTGTGAGTCCACCTCTTGGGCAGTAGTTTTTCTCAAACTGCTGTCCCATGGGTCACTCCTCCATGGGGTGCAGTCCTTCACAAATGAGCTGTACTGACGTGGGTCTCCCACAGGGGCCACAAGTCCCACCCAGGAGAAACCTGCTCCAGCCTGGGCTTCCCTCTCCACAGGCTGCAGGTCTCCGGCAGGACCCTACTCCACCTTGGGCCTCCCAAGGGGTCACAGCCTCCTTCCTGCATCCACCTGCTCCAGCGTGGGCCCCTCCATGGGCTGCAGGGGGGTCTCTGCACCCTGATGGTCCCTCATGTGTTGCAGGGGCACAGCTGCCCCACCCTGCTCTGCACCAGGGGCTGCAGGGCCTCGGCTCCGGCTCCTGGAGCAGCTCCTGCCCCTCCTTCTGCACTGCCCTTGGTGTCTACATTGTTATTCCCATGTTCTCACTCTGCTATTCCCTGGCTGGAATTTCTTCTGCACAACAATCTTTTGTTATTAAATATGTTATCCCAGAGGCGTTACTGTCACTCCTGACTGGCTCGGCCTTGGCCAGTGGCAGGAAGTCTGAACTGGAGCTGATTGGCATTGGATCCGCAGAAAAAGGGAAGCTTCTGGCAGCTTCCAACAGAAGCCACTCCTGTAGCCCCCCCATCCCCTCTACCAAAACCCAGCAGCAGAAACTCGCTACAAGACCATACATGCATTTCTATCCTGCTAGGCCTTCCCATCTTCAAGCCTTTTGAGACAAGGTTTGTATCTGAAAGTGAAAAGAGAATTGGATTGGCCTGAAGACGTCAGACTTTTGTCCAAAGTTGTAGCATAAGAAAGTCTTCTTCTTCTTGCATGTCCTGTTTAGATGACAAGAAGAAACCAAGAAACTTCTTAAATTAAAACCATGGAAACAAAGAGTAGGGATTGGCTTTTTCTGTCCTATTATTTGTGGTTTTAATTTATAGTTCAGCAACAGTAAGGTAATTTATAGACTGCAGAATTCTTTTGGGGAGGGGGGCAGGGGGATGATAAATTTCATTTATTTTTGGTTTTTTAACCTTGTTAATAAAAAGCAAATAAATTCTCCTCTTTCTCCTTCTCCCATGCAGAAATGTGGTGCTGCTCACAGCTTTTCTGAAGCCAGCAGTGTGGATGCAGCTGTTGGTCTGGAGATGTTTTTCCAGACTGAAAAATCACACCTGCCTAAGGACTGTTTTGGAGAAAGTAGGAATCTTTCCTTTATTGTGCTAATACCAAACAAACAGTGTTAAAAAATATCCACTTGGAACATGTCCAGATTAGCAGAATCTGTTTTCCTGCTCATCCCAGTGTTGACATCTGCCTTTGATTACCTGACCATCTCCTTAGACTCCATTGCCTCTCATGCTTCAATCCTGCTGCCTTTACAGATTCATGGAGACTGTTTCTGGTGCAAAGCAGTGAACAGGAAGTTGTAATGTCTCTGCAGTGGAATAAAGTGTAATAATCAGTAAAGATAATAATTGACTAATCCACTAGTAAGGTACTATCTCTTTTCAAAACAAAAAGAAGAAATGCAGAAAATAAACATTTTTTTAGATAGAAGTAAAGTCTTTTTTCTTGTGCCCACAAGCCTTTCTGCAGAAGGGCACAAAAGCAACTCTCTTTTTCCCATGTATGAGTTGCTATTAAAAGAGATTAATTTTGGCATACAAGTTTTTTCTTTTCTTTAGCTTTGTATCATTTCAACCACAGCATCACCTCATAGGTAAAACAGCACATTCTTTCTCTAATCTGTAGAAGCTCTCTTTAAGATGTCCTATGTTTTGATTCTGTATCTCAGCATTTTCCATGGAACTAATATACTGTTCTTTCTCTTTTCAGATTGTGGTAAATGTTTCCCATGTTGTGTAGTGGATATCACTAAGTTTCCAGGCAGAAGGTGGTGGAACTTCAGGAAAACCTGCTACCGAATTGTTAACCATAGCGGGTTTGAATATTTTATGGTTTTTGTGATAGTATTGAGCAGTGCAGCACTGGTAAATTGCATTTAATGTCTCTAATTTTGCATTGATTGTTGTCAATAAGGAAAATAATAGTATTTGATTGATTTCTTCTACTCTGACATTCCTTCCCACAGGGAGAGATAACAGTGTAATAAATGCATCCCTTAAAAGTGATAAGGCTTTCCCCCTTAGATAAGATATTTAAATATATGGATTTAAATATATGGAATTGTAGCTTTTCATGGAACATAGTTCTTCATACATTTGTGTGTAAATTACAAGACTAAACCAGAGTCTGAAATTACTTAGCACTTTCAAATAAAATAACAACACTTCTAAATGTTCAAAGTAAGGTAACTGCTCAGTAAAAATGTAGATTCAAAATCATCCAAACATTATGATTAGAATCTAAAAGTGAAGTTGGCTGTGAACTGATAGGTGAGGTAATGTTTTGTTGCTACCCTGATCAGATCCATTTCTACTCAAGAATAAGGGAATTTCTATGATTTGAAAGCATATCCACTGTCGACTGAACGTAATTTGTTAAATAAAATGTTTTATAATGCAGAAAGAACACAACCAAATAATCTGAAAGGGATCTATGGGGTAAATGTCAGAATTTTCCAAATAAAATCTGCTCTGTTTACGTTAAGTTCAGGTTGTTCACTGAATCATAGATTTGAACTGTCTGCTTTAGAATTCCCATGGCAAAATCGCCAAGGGAAATCCCTGGGACTCCTGTGAGGGCTCCTCTCTATTCCTGTGGAACCAAACTGAAGTAAGAAAGGAAACTGAGTTAGTCAGATCTTACAGCACATTAAGGAATAAACTGAACACAAAGCTATTTGGTACCCAGGTGCAAAATAACAAAACAACAACATCAAAGATGTTTTGCAGTGAGAACTTTCACCTATGTTGTCCTTTTGCAAAAAGGGACTTGTCCATTTTGTTTGTTTGTTTTCTTTGTTTATGAAGTTGTATGCTGGTAGGGAATTGTCTGAACCAGTTAGAACAAAGGGACACCATGGTGTCCTTGCCTTGAAAGGAAATTAAATGAGATGGTGATGACAGAAAGAATGCACAGAAAAGTCCATGGTGAGTGCTCAGTGCTCAGAGCAAAGGAAGAGTAGTTAGAAACTTAAGTAGATTCTAAGTTTTTAAGGTAGCAGCAATTAAGAGTAACTAGAAACTTAAAAAAGTTAGGAAAAAAGGAGTTGGAAGTTTGAAAAAACATCACTGCTAATGAGCAGGTGGTTTGACTGGTAGATGGAGATAGCCAAGGTTTAGCAGGGAATAAGAGGACACATGATCAGACTTGCTCAAGAAAAAAGGTCAGAAATGGCAAATGTACATGAATGCCAGAAGTTCTCATTTACCCACACTCAAATGAACAGTCCCATGGACACAGGGACAGCTCTGCTCTGGAGGCATTTCTCCTAATTGTGGCACAACTGGAAGACCCCTGAGGTCCAGAAGCAGAATCACTGTTTTCTAACACTGCAGAACAGGAGTGCATAGGTTTTATTGGATTATACCTAGGAGCATCTCTGCTCCTTGTTTTTTCAGTGCTCTATGCTCCTGCTCCACCTTTTCCATGGCTTTTTAGACTGGATTTTTAGGCATGTCTTACGTGAAGGGGAGCAAATCAGGTCTGCTGTAATACCTAAATGAAGTGGAGATGGGGCTATAAGGTAGGGGAGAAGTGCTTGAAAGGAGGAATAAATACATTTCCAGAGGCTTGGTGAGGAAATAATGCAAGATGTAAAAGGAATTGGGAGTAGATTGGCAATATCAAAAACTTAGAATTACTTAGCAAGGCAGAGAATGCATTAAACACAAGCAAACACTGATGTGAACAGCAGCAATCAATAAAGCATTTTCCTCAAACCTCAAGGTCGAGGTTTAGGTGAAAAAACTTGTAACTTCAGGAATGAACAGTTCCAGATAAGGAGTTTGTCATTCTTTTCAATGTGTGTATTACAACTCTTCAGACTGACTAAAGACGATTCATTTGGAAGGTCAGAGTCTGAAAGACAGTGATTAATGTGTTCAAGTCAGGCTTTAGTTTTTTACTTCTAAGTACAAAACTAAGTGGTGGTTGCCCATAATTTAGTATGAAATGGTTGTAATAAGACAAACTGTAATAAGACAAACTGTGTATTCTTGTGCAATTTAAGAATAATTTTCCATGCAACTACTGACCTGTTTTAAATCTGAATTCTGAAATTCCAGGCATTTGAAGATATTCACCTGCAGGATAGAGAAAAAGTGAAAATGATCCTAAATTATGCTGATAAAATATTTAGCTACATCTTTTTGATGGAGATGCTTCTGAAATGGGTAGCTTATGGATTGCGCAGTTACTTCACAAATTCCTGGTGTTTGCTTGACTTTGTCATTGTATGTGTAAGTATTATATTCAGCTTGTCATACATTTTGATTTTTGACATTTTCTATCTGGATGGATCTGGACATGCAAATTCTGATTATGAATAACTAGAAAGAATAACTACTGTGAAAGACAGTTCCCAAAAGCTGAAAAACCTGCGATCCAAAGAGACCTTAGGACAAATTTAAATGGAAATTTTCAGCAGTAATCAGAAGTTACTGAAGAAACCTTTATTAGATATCTTCTCTTATGACTATTTAGAAAGAACATGTAGCATAACTTCAGCAATTAGGGTTTTCTAATCTTAATAGCAGTGCTGTCCAAATCAGAGGAAAGGCATGAAAAGATCCGATGGCTGGACAGCAACACAAGAATTTCAACTAGGAGAGAAAAGACAAATCATGAACAGTCAAAAAAACTCCTAATTATTGAAATTTTTTTCTAATACTTTCATTTAATTTTTGCTCTTAGAAAAATTTAAAATATCAGGTATGTTTTTAAAAATTAATTTTTGTTTCCACATCACCATCTTAAGTGATAATAAAGAATTATTTTATATCCTCCTGAGAATAATGATGGAGCAAATGGGAATGGTTTATTTGAATAATCCTTTCTGGTGTGGCAGTGTATGAAAGTACAATGATTATCAACTTGGTTATTATATTAGCAGTCAAAAAAATTATATGGACTGGTTTTGAAAAAGAACCAAAACCCAAAGAGGAAAAAAATGCATTTTAAATCAGAATGAAGGAAACCTAATTTTTTTCATATATTAGAAAAGAATGAAGTAAAATTATATTACAATAACTTTGAATGTGTATTTTCTTAATTTGACTTACTGGTCAAAGATCTTGTAATGCTCAGATACTAACTGTTTGCTAACACAAACAAGGGAAATTTTGTTTACCATTTAATAATCCCAGTTGCAATTCTGTGAACACAGCTGTCATTTGTTTCCTGGGCACTAAATCCTGATCCCACAGTTGTATCACCTTGTTCCTCTGGAAGTGGCCTGAAATCTCTCAGGACTCTTAGAGCACTGAGGCCTCTACGAGCTTTGTCAAGATTTGAAGGGATAAAGGTAAAGATATTGGGGGTCAGTGTGAATATTTTGTAATGGCTGCATTTGAAGATTTTTTTGAAAATGACAACATAAAATTAATTATTATTTTCATTCACTTTGTTCAGGTTGTTGTCAATGCACTCCTTGGAGCTATCCCCTCAATCTTCAATGTTTTGCTCGTCTGTGTTGTCGTTTGGCTCCTATTTAACATTTTAGGAGTAAAATTGTTTGGGAAAAGATTTTCAAAGTGCATACTCCAGGAAGGAGATATCCGTGCCATTAATAACAGAAATAATTGTATATCCTGTGGTGGAAATTGGACAAATTCTCCTGTAAACTTTGATAATGTTGGGATGGGATACTTGGCTCTGCTCCAAGTGGTGAGTTCTATAAAAACATTCTCAGTTTTGTTTTCTTCAAGGAAACAGGTTGAGCAGCCCAACCATGGGACACCCCTGTGCTTCCGTTTATCCCAGTGAAATTGGGGATATTTTTTAGCTTCCATATATATTTTCCTTATTGGTGACCTGCTCAGTTCCTCCTAAGTAACACTTGAGCATATACTCAAGAACTCGTAAAATCAAGAACTCTGTTTCATGGCTTTTCAATTTTGTTTTAATTTTGATTAACACTCTAAACCTGAAATAGTCTGCAGGTTACTGAATTAAAAATATTCTCATTTTCTCTAGTTCAGAGTAGATGAGAAAGAAAATCAGGGCACAGTTTATTTATATTTTCTTTTGCTGTAGAAGTCATGCAGGATTGGGATACTAATTTATTGAGCTCCCTAACATGACAACAAAGGAGAGAAAGGCAATTTTTCAAATCATTTGTTTTGCCTGTATCTTTTTTAGCTGAAGTTCTATGCCCTGGATCCTCCAAAGTATTCTATGATTCTGCAGAGTTGCTAAAAATTGCAGGAATTGTCAACTGTTTTCTTAGAAATTGTTTTTATGCTTTTACATTATATTTGCAAGTTAAGCTGAAAATTTTACCATTTTATTTTTTTTACAAAAAAAAATTAATTTAACAAGAATTAACATTAAGACACTTCACATGCATCATGATTTTTTTTTGTTTTCAGGAAATATTTTTGTTTGTTTGCTTGTTTGTTTTTGTTTAGTTTTCAAGAAGTATTTTTTTTCTCTTTACTAAACTCCAGTGAATCATACTTCCCAGCAGATCTTTAGAAGTGATACATATTTTTTTATAGCATACTGCTCATTTTCCACAACTATCAACATATTTATATTAGCTATACGTAATCTTTTTCTTAGCTATAACAAACTTAATAATGCATTTTTTTCAGGCAACTTTTAAAGGTTGGATGGATATTATGTATGCAGCAGTGGATTCACGTCAGGTATGTCACTAAAATGACAATTTAGTTCTTTTCCCTTTTCTTCTTCCCTTTTCCATCCATGTAATTACTTTTCATCTTTGTTTGCAATATCAAATCAAAAATACAAGTGGTTGAAGGCATCAAACTACACAATGAAACAATAATCCTTGGAGTACCAAAAATCTGGAACTTAGACAAAAGAAACTGGTCAAAGTAGAGTGACACCACACAGAAGCCTGCTATGTCAGGAATGCAGAGGGGAAGATGTTGCAAGCTTTGTGCAAGGCTCTTTTGGAAACAGAATACAGAAGCTCTTGGAGGGACTGTGCAAATTTTCTTCCTTTTTAAACGTGTACAGGAGCATTGAAACAGCATGCAGCTAGAGCAGTTATTTCAGGAGTTTTTCTTCCCTATGTTTGACATCCTCACTATTTCTTCCCCCTTTGCATGTACTGTTCCTCACTCTCTTACCAGGACATTAAGTTTAGTCTGAGCTGTTGTTTTTAATCAGGGCATTCATAGCATCCCTTCTGATTGGAACTGGTTCTTTATTACTGAAAAATTTGCTGAAGCTGGATTTGTCTCTATAGCCCTGTTTGTCACTATCTTTACAATCAGTAGCAAGATAGAACAAGAGAGTGGTTCTACCTGTACATCCAGGTAAAGATGTAAATGCGTGGAAATAATTTATCCATCATGACAATGACAAGATCTGTTATTATAAATTGGAAATGGTAAAGCTGTGATTATCTCCTTTTTACCAATATTATTTTTCTGGTTTGCCTTTTTTTTTTACAGATGAATGAACAGCCAAAGTTTGAAGCAAGCTTGCACATGTACATATACTTTGTGGTTTTCATTATTTTTGGATCTTTCTTCATGCTGAACCTTTTTATTGGAGTGGTTATCAACAATTTTAACGAACAAAGGAAAAAGATAAGTACTACTTGAGCTAACTCAGGATCTCCTCTAATTCCAATTTAAATGAATGCTGGTTTGACATTTAGATGTCTAACATTTTGAAATAACTGTTTACCTGGATAAATTTAAACTAATAACATTTTAAACCACGTTTTGGAAACAAGAGTCCTCTTTTCCTCAATTGCTTTTAGCAATTTACCCGTATCATAGAGTAGAATCATAGAATCATAGAATAAGATGGGTTGGAAAAGACCTCTGAGATCATCAAGTCCAACCCTTGATCCTACACCTCTGTGGTTACCAGATCATGGCACTGATGCCACATCCAGTCTCATCTTAAAAACCACCACGACTGGGAATCCACCACTTCCCTGGGCAGCCCATTCCAATGCCTGATTACCCTCTCTGTAAAGAATTTCTTCCTAGTATCCAACCTAAACCTCTCCTGGCACAGCTTAAGACCATGCCCTCTTGTCTTGCTGATAGTTGCCTGGGAGAAGAGACCAACCCCCACCTGGCTCCCCCCTCCTGTCAGGGAGTTGTAGAGAGTGAGGAGGTCTCCTCTTCGCCTCCTCTTCTCCAGGCTGAGCCCCCCCAGCTCCCTCAGCCTCTCCTCACAGCACTTGTGCTCCAGTCCCTTCCCCAGCCTTGTTGCTCTTCTCTGGACCTGCTCCAGCCCCTCAATGTCCTTCCTGAACTGAGGGGCCCAGAGCTGGACACAACACTCGAGGTGAGGCCTCACCAGTGCTGAGTCCAGGGGAAGAATCACTTCCCTGGACCTGTTGGCCACACTGTTTCTGATACAGGCCAGGATACCATTGGCCTTCTTGGCCACCTGGGCACACTCTGGCTCCTGTTCAGCTTCTTATCAATCCAAACTCCCAGGTCCCTCTCTGCCTGACTGCTCTCCAGCCACTCTGTCCCCAGCCTGTAGCACTGGAGGGGTTTGTTCTGACCAAAGTGCAGGACCCGGCACTTGGCCTTGTTGAACCTCATCCTGTTGGAATCAGCCCATGGATCCAGCTTATCCAGGTCCCTCTGCAGAGCCCTCCTGCCTTCCAGCTGATCAACACTTGCTCTCAACTTAGTGTCATCTGCAAATTTGCTGATGGTGGACTCAATCCCCTCATCTAAATCAGCAATAAATTTATTAAACAGAACTGGGCCCAACACTGATCCCTGGGGATACCACTAGTGACTGGCTGCCAACTGGATGCAGCACCGCTCACCACCATTCTCTGGGCCTGGCCCTCCAGCCAGTTCCTGACCCAGCACAGACTGCCCCCATCCAGTCTGCAGCTTTTTCAGGAGAATGTTATGGGAGATGGTGTCAAAGACTTTGCTGAAGTCCAGACAGACACATCCAAAGCCTTCCGCTCATCCACCAGGCGGGTCACTTGATCATAAAAGGAGATCAGGTTGGTCAGACAGGACCTGCCCCTCCTAAACCCGTGCTGGCTGGGTCTGATCCCTTGTCCATCCTGTAGGTGCTGTGTGATTGCACTTACGATGATCTGCTCCATAACCTTGCCAGGCACTGAGGTCAGGCTGATGGGCCTGGAGTTTCCCGGGTCCTCCTTCCAGCCCTTTCTGTGGATGGGCGTGACATTCACCAACTTCCAATCATCTGGGATCTCCCCAGTGAGACAGGACTGTTGGTAAATGATGGAGAGCAGCTTGGCGAGCTCTTCTAATAGCTCCCTTATCCCCCTAGAATGGATCCCATCTGACTCCACAGACTTGTGAGGATCCAAGTGGCTCAGCAGGTCACAAACTGTTTCCTCCTGGATTACAGGGGGCTATTCAGCTTCTTATCTCTGTCTACAAGCTCCAAAAGCCAACTGTCCTCGGGACAACCTGTCTTACTGTTGAAAACTGAGGTAAAGAAGATGTTAAATACCTCAGCCTTTTCCTCATCTTTGAAAATTATGTTCCCCCCACCATGTCCAATAAAGAAAGGAGGTTTCCCTTGCCACATTTATGATTGATGAGTGACTTCTGAATCCTGGGTTCAAAGGGATTGCTAAGTACTACAGAGAGTGTAGATGGGGATAAGTAATACAGGGAGTGTAGATGGGAATAAGAAATTCATTGTTAGGAACCCCCTGTAGAACTGGGTCCCATCATCCTCCATTTACCTGCTAGTCCAGCAATACTCTTCTGTTTCTACCTTCCCCAAAAATAGAAAGTATTTCCCTTCTTGATGAATCATATGTAATTTTTAAATTAGGAAATAGATTTCTAAAACTTCAGAAAGGCTCTCCCACTTGAGGGAACTGACTTGGGAACACTGCCTAGACTAGACTGTCATGATCAGACCCAGATCAGCTCTTTTCAGTACATCTTTTCAAAGATCAAGGGGAAAAGGAGAAATGGTGAAGACACAGTTTGTCTCTGTGCTGTCTTAGGTCCCACTCAGGACAGCTGTAACTTACTCTTTTTTACAGAAAGTTGCTGGTATTTAGGGAACTGCATGAACTTCAGCTAAACAACAATATTCTTTCCCTTTACTTAGGTGGAAAGGATCTATTTTTGACTGAGGAACAGAAAAAGTACTATAATGCCCTAAAAAAACTTGGATCCAAGAAACCTCAAAAACCCATCCCAAGACCATCGGTGAGATCATCTTAAGTAGAACATGGCAGAAGATACAACGATGGTGACCATATTTGAACTCAGTAGCCCAGGCACAGGGAAATAAACTTTGCCTTAGAGCCCATCATCTTCTTTATTCAATGTAGTATTTACATTTTACTCTTTTGCTTAATTCCATCTAAAAGAGCCTTTGTTTGTGGGTATTAATTAGGAAATTTATATCCTATTTATGACCTATCCAAATGTGCAACCTGTTTATAAAGGTTCAAAATTAGTATTTGATAACCATACCATAACCTTGGTTATCTAAGTTGCATGATGTTGCTTCTGCCACGAGATAGGATTATTGCAGGTGAAAATGAATAGAGAGTAGTACATGCCCCCATGGCAGTTATTTGCTTTTAGATAATCTTATGCTTTATTTCTTTTAGTTCCTTAAATTTATTTCCAGGCTTGGCTTTTCATAGTAACTATTCAGAGTTTTTCTCGCTTGTGACATTTTAATTAGAGTTACTTATAGTAAAATATCTGCTTCAGTAAGGATTTCTGTTAAAAGAGCGATACAATGTACAATGTACTCTGGATGTTTTCCTGATGTATATAAATACATATATATATATATAAGAATATGTATATATATACCAATGTTCTTGCTTGATGCCTGAATATACTTAGCCAAGTACTGCGAGTTTTCATTGAAGATCTAAAGAAATCCCCTAAAAATGATTTAGTAACTAATTCTTAAATTTATATGACTTTAAATTCTTTTTCTAAGCACAAATTACTGATTAATATTTGAATGCAGGCTGAGTCCTAGAAGTAGCATCAAGCATTTCTTGTTCTCTCCACAGAATGCGTTCCTGGGATTGCTGTTTGATATCGTAATGCACAAAGCATTTGACATCATCATTGTCATTTTCATCTGCCTAAATATGTTTGTTATGATGGCAGAAAATAACCAGGAAGGCACCAAGGAAGTTCTTAATAAAATCAACTACTTTTTTGTGGCTGTATTTACAGCAGAATGTGTCATAAAAATGCTGGCCTTAAGACAGCATTACTTCAAAAGCGGCTGGAACTTATTTGATTTTATTGTTGTGGTCCTTTCAATAGTCAGTAAGTACCAATCACTAAATCAGGTAATGTGTCTTACCAATATTGAGCCAAATTTCAGTATGAAGTAACCACTTAGATACATTTGATAAACAAATCCAGATCCACTGTACTTTTTCAAACTATATGCTAATGAATTCCTTCTAAAAGGATGTATTTTGTTTTCCCTTATATGTACTAAAAAGTAAATGATGTTTTCAATTTTTACTTTTCTTAAAGTATGTTTTATTGAGTAATTAACAGAGCAGAAATTTAATTAATTAACATCTTCTCTAAATTACTGTACTTTAACCTGTTACCTAACTCTCTTTATGCTTTCAATTTACATGTTATCATGGTAACTGTTGTTTTCACAGTAAAAGTAAATTCATGTTAAAAATACATTTGCTTGAAAAATGAGAAAGATGTATTTAATTTTTCCAGGACCTACTATAAAGAAGGCAGATCCTGATTGCTGATTTAGAAAGCTCAGGAAAACATAACTGCTCAGCACCATTCTAAATCTGGACCACTGTTCGTGACTGTGAAAAGTCTCATTAAAACTGACTTGGCTTTTTTGGCTTTTTCAAATAAGACTAGATGCTGATCATTTCCTCTACAAAGGGTCATAGATAGCTCTAGTTTCTTTTGCAGTTTATTTGGTCTGTGCTTCCCACTCAGGCTCAGGTTATATCACAGAATAAAGGACAGGAAAGAAAAACTGCTCTGAGTTCTCTCTTTTGTGCCTAAGCACAGTAACCCTTTGCTGTCCCGTGCAACCCAGGAAAATGATGACTCCTTAACCCCTCTGTTTGCAATCATTTGCATTGCTGCTGTACCCCTACTCTGTTAGTAGGGTCAAAGAACGGGGTGTAATGGGGGATAAATGCTAAAAGACAGTTTTTCTTTAGAATCCTCTTGGTCTTCTCTGATCTCTTTCAAGTACCAAGCATTAGTCAAAGCCTCACATTTAGCATGTGATCAGGCCTGTAAAGAAGCAGCAGACAGCAGCTAGGAGGCAATCCCCACAGCTTCCAGCACAGCAGCTGAATGGAGCTAAAAGCATTTTTAAGTACTTGAGCAATGAATGTGTAACTTCACCAGCCCTGAATTAGAGGAACCTGGGAGGATGCAGTTTCCAAACTATGCATAATACTGATATCTTTTTAATATTGTAAGGTATTACGATTTGTCTTTCTTTTCCTAAGCTGTTCTGTAAGCAAGTGTAGTATTGATGATGTTTGTGTGGAAAGTGGTGTAATATGGTCAGTGTTACTTCTGACACCTAAAGCACAGAATATAACAAAGCAGACAACAATTTGACTAATATGGCTTGACAACATTTTGTTTTCTTTCTCCCTTCAAAGGTATTGGAGTTTCTGAAGCCTTTCAAAAATTCGTCTCTCCTACACTTTTGAGAACTATTCGTTTGGTGCGAATTGGCCGAATCCTGAGATTGGTTCGAAAAGCGAGAGGACTTCAAACCCTTCTCTTTGCATTACTGATGTCTCTTCCTGCATTGGTCAACATTGGCCTTTTGCTTTTCCTGATTATGTTCATTTATGCCGTTGTGGGCATGGCAAACTTTGCCTGTCTTCCCTGGGAAGGTGGGATTGATAACATTTTCAACTTTCAAACCTTTTCTGGTAGCATTCTCTGTCTCTTCCAAATTACAACATCAGCTGGCTGGGATGGTCTTCTGGCCCCTTTGTTAAATGAATCTGATACATGTGCTCCCAACTTAAATTTAAATGTGACAGATAAAACTACTTGCAAAAATAGACCATTTGGTATTTTTTATTTTGTAAGCTATGTCATTATATCATTTCTCATTGTTGTAAATATGTACATAGCTGTCATTTTAGAGAACTTCAATGTTGCCACCGAAGAAAGCACAGATCCTCTTTGTGAGGAGGACTTTGATATGTTTTATGAGACCTGGGGAAAATTTGATCCTCTGGCAACACAGTTTATTGACTATTCTGCTCTTTCAGACTTTGCAGATGCTCTGGCAGAACCCTTGCGCATTCCAAAGCCCAATAACATCCAGCTCATATCCATGGACCTCCCTCTAGTGAGTGGAGATAAGATCCACTGCTTGGATATCTTGCTTGCTTTCAGTAAACGAGTCTTGGGAGAATGTGGAGATTTTGATACACTTAAATTACTGATTGAAGAAAAATTTGTGGCTGCCAATCCATCAAAAAGATCTCACAGGCCAATTTCTTCTACATTTAAGAGAAAACAAGAGGAGGTATCAGCAGTTATTATCCAAAGGGCCTTCAGGAGGTATTTGATACAGCGTTCTTTCAAAAATACATCTTTCTTATGCCGTCACAGACAGACCAGTGCTGTCTTTGGAGAAGAAATGCAGGATTAGCAAAGGCTTATTGTATCAATGCTTAATGAAAGTAGTGGCAGGAAGATACATAAATCACGGCCTGTTTCTTCCACATCTCTCCCTTGACTTTTTGATGCTGTTGCTGAAACAAATAAGCTGGACACATAAGATTATCCAGGCCACAGCATTTTTGACATTTAAAGTAAAGTCACTGATTTTCAGATGGAGACAATGTGTGAATCCCAGAGCATAATACTCTGAATTTAGAATAATGATGGCAGCCTTCAAGCATTGTGATTGTTCAAATTTGCAAATTCTCCCTAAAATGATTAAGATCTGAACAACTATGTCATAAATATTGGAGAAAAATCAAACCATAGAACTTTTTTCTCAGCTAGTGGAGTAGGTGGGTTAATTTTTTCACCTGCTAGTTTTGTCCTAGTTCGTGTGTTTATGGAAGAAATTCTTAAAAGGTCAGTTGTAAGCACAGATTTATAAACACACAAGGCTCTAGAATAATGTAAATCTCTTTAGAGATAACCAATATTTCCAACTAGGCTTTATTGTAGCAAAATGAAATAATTACTGCATTTCTGTAATAGAGCTGATTCAGGACACTCGAGTATAATCAGCCTCTGACTTTGATGGTTTTGAGACCATCCTCCTCCTAGCATGTTTGGGTGGATTTGTTTATGCTTAAGAATTTTGGAGGTGTCTTTATATGTGCACCTAAATGGATTTAAGAGATCATCCTCAGTTACCTGTGCTTGAAAGTTCTATATAATTTGTTCTTTGTATCATTCGGTGTATGGAAATTGTACATAAAATTTAATCATCACTCAAATGTCATAGAGAGCATTACTTAGTATTCTGAAAAGGAGTTCATGGTATATCTTATGAGACAACATTTAATAAAAGTTAGAGGAAGCGTTTATTTGATTGATTCTGAAAAAATATACATGAACAATGTGTAATAAAATATTTTAGTGATTCTTTTGCAGTTTATGTTATTCAGATGAAGTGTCATGGTGGATTCAGAACCACTAATAAAATGCAACTGGTTTAGATTCTTCAATAAAGAGTTCAGATGCTTAACATGTTTTTGTCTGTTTTCTAAGGACTATCTTCAATTTAATTTGTTACAGGACATAATCTGTTCTTGGAGGGGTAATACAATTTTCCAAAAGTAGCTACCTATTAGCACAACAAAACAAAAATATTTCACTTTTTGCAGGGAATCAGAAAAGATTTATCATTTTGAGGCCAAGAATAGCAGGAACAATAAGGTAATTACTCAATTTTTACTGTCATTTCCTGTGTTAAATACTATTAAATATTGTTAAATCTAAAATAATTTCAGGACAAATAAAGGCACAGGAAAGCTAAGAGTTTAAGAGTTCCAATACAGTATGGTTTGAAGGGGCTTTGTTATGATTGAGCTTCAGCTGCCCAGGGAACTGGTGGAATCACCATCCCTGGAAATGTTCCAAAAACCAGTGGATGTGGCACTTAGTACTGTGGCTTAGTGGGCATGGTGGTGTTTGATTAAAGGTCGAACTTGATGATCTTGGAGGTCTTTTGTAACAGTCCATTAGGATACCTGCCCGGAATAAAGACAAGTACTACAGACATTCAAACACCGCAAAATATCTTTTACTGCAGCGAGAATAATAACAAAAAAAAAAACTAGCAAAGAGAATCAAAAGCTAAAAAAGAATACAAAATAACTATTTTATCGGTTGGCATTAAAACAATACTATGAATAGCTTTTAATACAGTAGTAACTAATAAAAAGGGAACTAAAGGAATACCAAAAAAGGATATTAAAACAATACTACGGACAACTTTTAATACAATATTAATTGGTAAAAAAAGCGGTATTAAAGGGAAAACATTATGAACATCTTTTATTACAATATTAACCAAATAGAGGGGAATTAAAAGGAACATAAAAGGGATATTAAAACATTTGCTTTCCTGGTTGCTTCCTATCAATAAACCATTCTTACCTACACAGACAGGCCAGGGCTACCAGGATCTGCAGCAGCTGGTCGGTGCCCATGCTTAGCAGGCGTCCCCACAGAGCAATACTGTCTCCATGGAAGGATGAGTATCGCTCACCCCAGCAGTCCTGACACCCCATTTTTATCAGCTCTACATTACACCACGTAGGGCCAGTACACAGCATAAGATGATGCCTGAGTGGCAGCCAAACCCCACCTATTCATTACGTAATAGCAACAGTCTGCCCATGCCCTGCTGTAGGGTAAGGGGCGAATGACCCCTGCCCACATAATCTTCCTCTCACCATTATCTTTCTCACCCCTGTGTATGACCTCTACCATTGTGTTTCAAGGGTATTTGTATCCATCTTGCAGTAGCAAAGCCAAGGAGGAACTCAGCTCTGAAAATAGGGGATATCAAGTTGACTTGCTAAAAAGCGCAACGGACCTTACAGTTAACTTGTGCCATAAAGTTACATGGGACAATACTCTAGCTGGTTTCACATCCTAATATGATTTCTTTCTCACGCCTCTATGCTCCATAGATCATCTAATTCAAAAGTACCCCCCTTACATCTTTTCCAATCTTAATGATTCTATGATTACTTCCAGAACCAGCTGCAGTCCAGAAAAAAAAGGTTGATGAAGAAGGTTTGCAGACCTCTTAGGATAACTCAGGAATTTGCACTCGGGAGCTACCACACTGGGCAGAGGGATGCAGAGATACTTGGTGGCTCTGCTTGAGACCTGCTCCTGTCCAGCTTGTGTTGTTTCAGGCAGAGTGATGCTTGTGAGGTGAAACTCTTTATTTTGTTCTTTGAGAGCTGGACTGAGCCAACAGCTTTTGTTCATTGATCAGGTACCACTAGATGGCAGCATTTAGTGTGGTTTAAAATGTGGTAAATCTTCGGTGAATGAGGTGTCAAACTTTGCACACATCAGCAAAAAGGTATTACATTGATTGTAAAAAAGTTAGGAAAAAAGTCTAACTCTCTTTTTTTCTGTCCTGGGCTTTCAAGTTAGCCACAGTTCTCAGGAGGTGCTTGTTCACTGACTGTTCTGGCTTTTGAGAGACCTTAAGGACTGAGGCAGAAAAAAAATTCACCTGTGTCCTTGGGCTTTCTATCTTTATATCACTGTAAAAGGAAATGTTTCTTAGGCAAGAGGTAAGAATGCTTTGTTCTTGCGTATTGGAAAAAAAGAAAAGCTGGGAAAAGCCATATAAGAGACTTTAAAAACACTAATGAATCTATCTTTGCAATTTAAAATTATTTGTTTGAATGCAACACCAGGTTCTCTGCCCTGGATCATAATTAGAATTACTTCAAAGAAGAACACTTTATTTTCATTGTAGGGGCAGCAATTTTGGACAAAATCGTACCTGACATGAACACATCCTTAGTGATTATTTTACTTCAGCAACACACAAAAGTGCCTGAATTCACCCCACAGCAAATTTAGAAGTCTGACCAATTCTTTACTATTGCTTAAGCATTAAGATAGCCTTAGCATGCAATGGCAGGGTTGAAAGGAGAATGGTGATATCCAGCTGTTGCAGCTTCTTTGTGCTACAATTGTCCAAAAGGCACTGCTGAGGCAATGTAGAGTTTCTTTAAGAAGTCCTTAAGGTGGTGATGAGGTAAGAGCAGTGAAGAGGTGGTATCTTTTGGCAATGCTGGTATGTGGAACTGTGAGTTCCTCCAGGTTAAACTGCCTGGATAGATGTGAACTTCATGAGAAGTGGTCAGGCACGCTTGGAACACAGCAGAAGAATATTCCCTTCTGTTTGTGAAGTTTGACACTTAAATCAGAGAACAGCAGAAACAAAGGAATACTGGGTGACTCCAGGTAGGAAACACTGTGAATGTAAAGCTCCTAGGGAATTCCTGAGGGCCAGCAGCATAATACAAGCTAACCTTTCCTCCTTAGTGGTGGTGCAGACCTTCATTTTACATTTCCACCTATTGCTTTTCCTGTGTAGAAATAGTATGAACCTGACCCCTGGTAAGTAGAAGTTTTTTCCTCCTTTTATGTAGCCCTGTATCCCTGAAAAACAGGCTCCATGAAGGGATTGTGAAAACTGTCCTTTTACTCTCTGGAGTTCCTCAGTTACTGCTCACCTTGCAATGTTTGCACTCTTCAGTGTTTCTTCAGGACTCAAAGAGAGCCCATCTGCAGTTAAGTTATTTGAAAAGAAATAACCTTTAGTGGAAGGTTCTGTGAGAAATGAAATAAGGTTTTGGTTCAACCATGAAACCTCATGGACATGAGAGAGAAGGGGAGGGAAGTTAGCTCCTGTTTATAGCTTGAGTGCAAAGAGTAGCTAGGGCCAATAGGAAAGGTGATACTGAAAACCTGCCCAAAAAAAGGAAGCAAAGACAAAAGGGGGAAAGTTAAGGGACAGTTCAAGTCAGGTAGGCAACTGGGAAGGGATATAAGTTCCTGAATAGATAGGCAATGGGAAAAGTGACAGGGATCTCACCACCTGGGGAAGAGTATAAAAGGTAGTCCATTCTGAGGAGAGGTGTGCTTCCCTAGAGATGCACCTGACTCAGCTGACTTGTTCTTATCAATAAATAGTTTTGCTTCAATGACTTTGTCATTTCTCAATTTCATCAATAAGTGAGTATTTCTCACATCTGGGGGCTCGTCCCAAATGCTTGACCTCTGACCCTGCAGAGCGGGACAATGGGAGCACGGGAAGGTGTACCCTGCTGATTTCAGCAGCCCTCAGCTTGTTGTCATGCCCTGTGGGGACTTCAGGTGAGACCCGGATGGAGGACTCTCAAAGCAAAAGGGGAAGGAGAAGTAGGAAAAAGGAGAAAAGATTAGGTATTGTAAGACTCCAAGCCCCGGGAGCTGCCAGCTCCATGGTTTGGCTATGGTTCTTTAATACCTGGAGACAGCATCAAGAGAATAAGCCACGTATGGGAAATAAAGAAATGAGGCTGCACAAACCACAATTCGGTTTTTGGGATTCTCCGCAGAGCTCCCTCTGCATTCCTTTTTTATTAACCTCTTCAGGTAAACAGCACTCGGTGTTGCCATTCAGTTATAACTAGAATTCCCAAAACTCTGGTGACCTGATGTCTTGATTTCACACGCTATCATTCTGCGACTGTTTTCAATCACGGCATAAACCATGCATGCTCTCATGCAGACTCTTGAGCCATTTTCCGCTTTGGGAACACAGCACTCTCTTTACCAAAACATAGTTAAAGCCGAAATACTCCTTTTTGATTCTAATTAACTGAATGCAGGTGCATCTGACTCAGCTTGTTCACACAGCCAGGGACTTGTTCCCAAGAAATTTCTTTAATAATTTAGGGGAGCAAATAAAGAAACTTGGCCAAAGATCAAAAGGACACCATACAAGGTAGACAAAATGTTCCACCACAGTACTGACCCAGCATATCGTACTAATCCACAACCCTTAAGTCAAAATCCAGCCAATCCACAACACTTAAATCAAGATCCAATCAACCAACAATACTTAAGGCAAGGTTCAATAAATCCACAACCCTTCCAATAAAACCACAAATCCACAACACTTAAGGCAAAATCCAACCAATTCCACCACACTTAAATCAAGATCCAGTCCCTCCAGCTCCAAACCACCCTAAGAATCAAGAAAGGAGCAAAGAAACAGAAGCAGAGGGAGCAAGAGGAGACAAGAAAAAGAAGAGATAGCTACAACCGAAGCCTTGTAGAAGACCAGCTCTCACAAGTCCAATGGCAGGATCGTGACACGATGTAAACACATGCCTTTGGTTTTGTCTGCTCTGGTCCCTTGTGATAGTTTCAGTCTAGGCCTTC